GAGGAGCTGGAAGAAGTGGCTGGGGAGAGGGAGGTCTGGGCCTCCCTTCTGAAGCTGCTGCCCCCGCAACCCGACCCCGGATAGGAGGAAGAAAATGGATGGATGGATGGTTAATGTGTTCTCGTCTGCAGCACAGATTGTACTTTTTACGCAGATTCAGAGTGTTTAGGGTTAACCAGAAGCCAAATCTGGTTACCAAATCACCAGGATAACCAAGATTATCACCTTCATCACCATCATAACATTCAAAACTAAAGCAAATATTTATACAAACAATAAAATATGAACATGGGCTCATAACAAGTGAAATAAACCTAATGTACCTTGCTGCTTTCACCAGAGGAAAACAAAGTATAAGATCTCTGTTTATTTAACACCGGTATTTGAAATCCTGCTGACAGTTGCTTTCCAGCCCTTTATTGTTAGAACTACTGTAATTACTGCCAGCTTTTATAAGGCCAGCCCTTCTTGGCTACAGCATCACATGAGGTACAAAACAAACAAACAAAAAACAACCTCATTGAAAATACAAATGTTATTAAATCAAAACAAAAACATTAATGGACAACCCACACAGTGTACATCAAAAACAGACAAACATCTATAAACAATTCACACAATGTAAAATTTATTTTTAAATAATTTACTGTCAGTTACAGTCTGGTTTTTTAGTTATTTTGCTCTCAAAGCACATTTTATGTACGTGTCTGTGAAAGGTGTTATATAAATAAAGTTTACTTACCTACCTACTTAAAAAAGGATGCACCATCTTGGAAAAAAGTCCCATTTTAATTTCAATTATTTGTCCTTGGTTTTTGGTGTTTCTGCCATGATTTGCATGCAGCAAAGAACCCATGGCGCAGACAGTTTCAAAAAAACCAAAAATCAAAATTTATTTAAAGGAAAAAGTGTGGACGGGGCAGCTCAAGAAACTCACAAGGCTTGGACATGGCAAAACACAGGACATGAAAAACTTTAGAGCTGGAACACAGCAAAATACAGAACAATGGGCCTCATGCAAGAACATGTTCGTCTTCTTCTCCTAAATTTCTCTTCCTTTTGTTCGTACAAAGGGTTCGTACGAACATGTCACGTCAGATTCAACAAACTCTTCTATCTTCAGGAAAAGTGTGTAAATGAGCTGCGTAAATTCCACCTGTTCGTATCCAACTCAAAATATCTTCAAACTAATGAAATATAAAGTTATTAGTGAAGAAAACCCGTCTGGATAACAGCAGACTGACTGCTGGTAAAATATACGACAGGTCTGGACC